GATCCAACATTGGCTTCTCTTATGAAGGACCATCCAGGAGACTGTACTGGATCTGACCATGCCTGTGACACCTCAGAGTAACCCAAGAATTAGTAAGAGTATGGAATAATATCTGATTTCTGGATCAAGTGTAAGAAATCTGAGATTATTTTGTTGAAGGCTTTCACAGCCGGAGTTCATTCGCTTTTGTAGATTTTTTGGGCTGTACGGCCGTGGTCTTGGCATTGTAGGACCTGACATTTCGCCAGTAGCTGTGACTGGGCTCCTCACAGGTATGACACAGAAAGTACTCTTTGGAGTATTCGTCTTCTAACCTTGACACAGAGAGTACTCCATCTTTCTGTGTAATACCTCTGAGGGTGCCAGTCACAGCTGCGGGCGAAACGTCAGGTCCTACAATGCCAAGACCATGGCCAGACAACCCAGAAAATCTACAACAGCAAATCTGAGATTCTTACCACACATCACACGTCCAAAACATGACTGACTTAATAAAGGACAATTGTGAATTCCTTACAACTTCGATTTAAAAACTGTCTGAATGGGAGGAAATTAACTTTTCTTGGCTTACCAGGATCCAAGTAGTGGAAATGCTGATCTTCTTAAAAGATGCTTTTTCTTCTCCCACACTAATTTCTGTACCTGTAGTCAATCTCCATCAACTGGCTCGAAGACAGATGGCAGAACTGGCTCCTGTTATCATGCCTACTGGGAGCGTGTCAAGAGGCAGCACTTTTTGGGCAGTGATTAAGTATCATAAAATAGCCGTTGGATCCATTGCCCTACAGCCCAAAGCAATTTTTATTTTTTTTTTGGAACTTATATTCCGTCCTCCCCACAAGTGGGTTCAGGGCGGATCACGGGGGCCATTTGGCGTCACAATAGGAATACATTCGTAAACAGATCAAAAATAGTTAAGAACCAAAAATAGTTAAGTACACAGTCTCCAGGGCTGGTGCGCTAGGTCTCTAAGATCTGCTTGATCTCGGGCCGCATAGAGATGGTGGCCTTCAGGGCTATTTTTGGGCAGGAAGCACAGGAGCGGAGTTCCGGCTGGCTCCCGAGTTGGCCACGCCCAGCAGGAACTCATTAGCATAATAGGCCACACCCAACAGCAGAAACTCATTAGGATTGGCTACAAGGTAAACAGAATAAGAGGGGAAAGGTGGGTGTGACTGGATAACCACACTTCTGGTAACATGTGGGTGCGGCCTAATATGCTAATGAGTGGTGCTGTCAGGGGTGTTGCCCAATATGCTAATGAGTTTCTGCTATTGGGTGTCGCCTATTATGCTAATGAGTTCCTGCTGGGCTTTTTCTACAAAAAGAGCCCTGGCACTGGCCTTTAGCAGGGAGGTCAACTTTTCACTGGACGCCCGCCGCCTCGGCCAAAGGCCTGGCAGAACTGATCCATTTCACAGGCCCTGCGGAGCTTCGGTAGGTCCGGCAGGGCACTGATCCCCCACAGGAGCATGTTTTAGACAATAAAATAATCCACCCAATCCGAATTGCAGCCAAGCTCCTGGAGGCATTGGAAGGGCGGGGAGGAAAAAACCTTCACAGGGCGGTACAATAAAACGAGGGAGAGATCTCAACGCAGTCGGAAAGTACGGAAGATTGCTCAGATTTCTTTGAAAAACGGCTCCCCTTTATGTCGTATGCTCCCACCTTTTCAGGGTTTGATGGCCCTGGACTCACCGTACACAGGCATTGTGAACTACAGGCAGGTGGTCCTCTCTTACGCCGAAGACTTCCAAGCAGCCGGGGGGACGGTCCTGACTGGCTTTGAGGTGGAAGACATGAAGATGACAAAAGAAAGCCCTGCGGGAAGTAAAGAAGGTGTGTGGTTTTTTTCCCTGGCACTTCATCACCTCACCTTTGGGTCCCCTTTGCGTGGGGAAGGCCCCAGTTTCAGTGGATTTCAAACAGAGGCTGCTAGGAAAAAACGAATCAGTCCCTCAGACGTTGGACAGCTGCTTCCAATCGGAATAGGCAGTGCTGGGCTATACGGACCAACGATCTAGATTAGTTATAAGCAGGGGTCATTTCCTGCACAGGAGCTGAGCTCTGGCAGTAAAGAGCAACAAGCCTCACCCCCTGCTCCCAGCTGCCCTCAGTCAGAGCAAGAAGCAGACAGGTAAGCTGCAGAGCCCCCCCCCCCCGCCGAAAAAAGCCACGTGGCA